GTTCCAAGCTTAAAAATTCCTTGCTACAGAGCGCTAAAACTGCTGTACGCTTTAAAGTGTATTTTAGCTTTTAGGAGATACATTCTTATAGTTAAAGGAATAGTATATGTCAAATGTAGAACTTAAATTATAGCATTTTCGGTGAAGTATCATTTACAAAACGTTGGGTTTGGTAAACGTCTAAAATGGGGGGTAGCGTGTTAAGAAAACACACAGCCAGGACCCGGAATGCTTATATTTTGTAACAGTTTTAGCGCCCTGGTCGAGATTTTTACGTCACTCCCTTTTTACCATGCTTTGTGGTAGGGTTTAACATCCTGTGAGACTCTTTTAATCCCAGATTGTTAGTATCTTTTGTGTCCAGCGCCCTGGGCGGCTGCCAAACGTCCTCTACCATAACGCAGGCGCTGGCTTTAATTAATATTTTTTTTTTTAAACAAATCAACATACATTTTGTAAACTCTAAAAATATTTTTACTAAAGTGGTTTTATGTGAACTTGTATCAACCCGAGGGGGTCGTAATAAGCCGAATAATGTGAAAAAGTTTGCTTAAAAAATTGTTATTATTTTTAATTAGCTCTCGGAACAAGTTTTTCAAGCTTTAGTTGGAAACTGACAGTATAAACATGTCGGCTTATTCGGAAAATCCCTCGCTTTTACAGTTCGTATATTAAGGTAGAATTGAACATTATGCTTGTTAATAAATCATTTATTTTAATGATTGTTCTTTACTTAAATATATTTTTTACTAAATATTAATGCCAGTTCAACAAGAGACGGGATTTATTACATTTAATAAAACAAATGAGACTAAAATATAAAGGAATTGTCCTAAAATCCTCTGTTTGCCGCAAAATTAACAACTAAATAGCTACCAAGGTTAACAAAGCAAAACAACTGGCTTTACTTCCAATTTATTTTAAATGAATCTGGTTTCTACTTTACTATTCCCATTTCTACTTCCTTCGAGAATAACAAAGAAATAGGACTTGTGTAGTAAAACTGTTCTTGTCGTTTTCTAGTTTACCATGAATCATTTACTTGTAATTTTTTTCATAACATAAACCTTTTTGATGCTGTCATCCTTTTTCCTAATGTAAGGAAATTTATGATACATCCATAAATAGGCACTTATTTACTGGTTTATATAATGTAGTACAGGGTGTTCTTAATGGACGGATCAAAAGCTTTGTGTTGATAGAAGATAAAGCACAAAGATTTTGATCTGTTGGTTAAGAATCATCCTGTATAGTTATTTGGTATCATTTAAAAAATTCCAACTTCGAGTCCGCTGATGAGTCGCAGCAATCTCTGCAACAATTCAATTCATTTCCACCACCCCTAAAAATAAAAACCTTTGATTACTGAAATTAATAAAAACGACAGATTTTTAAAATGATCAGCGGCATAGTACGAAAATTTTCGAGAAATCGTAATTGATAAAATTTGTATGAGATTTGTTGGTGGACTTTAACGACGGAGCGCTAAAGAAATGTACAATTTTAGTCGATGTCGATACAGACATTTTCTCGCAAATTTTTGTATTGGAACTCACTACTAAGAGCGGACACACACATGTGACAAAACTATCGCACAAGTGTTTAGTCTCGCTTAAATTCCTAAGCGCTTAAATGAAGGTGCCTACACTACTTGTTAGTTAGTTAGTTAGTTCTGCAACTAAACAGTTGAATGGGCTGCGAAACAATCGACAATCGCACAACAGTTTTGCCATAGTTTAGTCAAAGATAACCGCCCGCTCTAAGAGTCATAATCGTAATATCAGGTAATTTGTATCTAGTTAGTACAGTATGCAGTTTTATTATCTAGTTTAAAATAATATTCTGTCCTAAATTAGAAAATTCATCAGTTAGTCAGACATAAAGAATAGATATCGGTCTTGGATGGACACATACGATACTGTTTCCACAGTACACTGTTACTGCAGTATCAGGTATCGCGGAAACGTGTAATAGGAGCTTCCATTTTGACTACTTACGGTAGATTTTCGGCAATCCAGTTACAGTAGCAACTGATCTTTGTGCCAATGATGACGTGATGTGTAGAATTGGTCACCTCACTAGCCGCGACTGCTACGAGGTGATTGCGATGTATAGATATAGCTCCAGAATGACCCTTGAAAGATAAATGTTTATAAAAATACTTAAAAAATAAAGAGTATACTTCAAATTTATTTCACTTCATTTTACGTTAACTGTATCTCGTGACTTTGACCGACCAAAATTAGAACTTCTATGTTCTTGGTTACAATGATATAGGCTTTTATATGGAACATTATATTTGAAAATTATAATATATTCCGAAAATCAGATTGCTGTTTGATGTGTCTTATTATTTTTTAATTTCGCTTACCTGCACCTTGGTGGGCCTTTTCCTTATGTAACATATAGTCTTGAATTCATCTATTAAAGGTAATAATACATTTAAATTAACGTATAACCGAATTATTAACATTATATTGAAAGTAAGCAACGATGTACCGTCAGGGCGTTTCGCGGTGATATGCTTTCAAAAAAAGCTTTGTTTCTTATAACGAAACGAACCCTGAGTCTTCTACAAACAACCAATTAGGCAGCAGTGACGAGAGGACAATAATAAATATCAGTTAGCCGTGTGCCACTGACCTAAATTATGTCCTAATGGTTAAGCGACTATCGTATTGAAGGTGGAATACTGCTAGATTCCTCAATAGTATATGTATTGTAACAACTTCAGGTTGTCGCTTACTTGTGTGTCGTCTTATACCACAAGAACTATTAAAACTAGAGAAGTCTTACCGATACTGCGTTTAACTTTCGCCAAAATACTTTTGCAAACATCTCCTTCAAAGATAATGTAATCGTCCATGTTTAGTGAACTATGCTGCAATGTTTAAATAGCGTTAATAATGATATTCATGGTATCTCGATGTTTAATTTTTGTTTTTTTTTTAATGTTTTTTAAAATTAAACGTAAACACAAACTTTACAGAACTCATACCTTGTGTTCATCTTGTTTCGTGGTCTGGAAAACAACAAGTCAATTTTATTTTAAGACTCTTTATTTTTCCATAACAAGAATTAATTCACTTACTTAAGAATATTAAGTAGTGAAACATGTAATATTTACATAACAATATTTCAAGCGTACTAGGAATTTAATGCAAAGTTTTTACTAAATGTTGGTAGTGTCGTAACTTGAATTTTAATTCATTTATTTTTTTTAAATATTGTAATTTATTTCACTAACCGATTCTTCGTCAGAAGAAAGTAAAATCCCTGCGGTCATACCTAAATGCTTCATTTTCTTATAATAAAACCCTTCCTGTAACAGATTGATGATTTTTTTTAAATCATAACATTTTAAAAGAGGACTTGAGAAGCTAATTTCTGTACCTCGTCTTCAGTAGAATCGGAGCAGCTGTCCGAATGACGTTCTGTAGTCGTCGTGGTTGTTGTCTTTTTAACCTAAAAACAAAGGTTGAACGTTAAACATTGTAATACAAATCGAACAAATTCTTCCAGAACAAGCAAAACAATATTTCGTACGTCGCGTGTCTTTTATTTGGGTTCTAGATGGTTTACGGTTATTTAAATCAATTAAGCTAAACTTAATATTTCAACTCTTTCAGTTGTAATATGCATACTTACTTTATTTTTTATAAACTGATTCCAATTTAGTACGGTAATTTTGGTATGAACAGACGTAAAAGCATTCCCATCAGCTAAGGGTATAATATTCCCGGGTTTATCTGACATCATGCCAGCAAAAGTGTACACTAAAGCCAAGTCCGCCTGTATTGCTCTGTAATCCGGATGTACTAATACTCTTTCTATCGGTAGATACTGTTCGTAACCAGATTCGAACATATTCTTAGATCCTATGATAACAAACGACCCTGTTAACTCAGGTTGCAATTTCGTAGCTTCGCTTCTCTCGACCTTTTTCAATTCGCTGAAAAAAAAAAATAGTTAATTAAATAGAAAGAATCTACATCAAGACTCCTTGAGCATTAAAAACGACGACTTCATATTAAAGCAATTAAATCTGTATAGAATGGATTAGAAGTCTCGGAAACTTCTAAAATAACTACCAATGTTCTTCGATGAATAGGAATGGAAGGAGGGGTTTAATTTGGTTTTCTTCCTTCACACCTCTATCTAACTCCAGGGCCATTAACAATATTAATTGTAAATTGTAACTTACAAGCAGTGTGCGGCGCTGATGACCACATAGTCATGTATAATAGCGCCCGTGCAGTTTCTCCTCCACTCATCCGTAAACATTATCCTAAAATGTTATCATGAATTTTTAAGGTTTAACCAAAATTCTGGTTAAACCATAAAAGTTGGAAACCCTAGATGTTATTATTCAAATATGAATAGCGATCAAAATGTTCGTAATATTAATACTAGCTTTCGCCTGCGACTTTATCCGCGTGGGATTAAATAAAAACAAAAATAAGTAGTCTATGTGTTCTTCCAGTCCTCTATGTCAAATTTCATCGTGATCCGTTCAGCTGTTTGCGCTACAAATTGTAACAAACATCCATTCATCTAAACTTTCGCATTTATAATACAAGTAAGAGATTGAGAACAAAATATTACTCTATAAGCGCCACGAATGTATAGTGATCGTCAGGAATTGCTACAATTTTATTATTCTCTTGATCGGGAATATGAATTGATTCGACATTATGTGCGCCTTCGTTCTGATTTTGTTCCCCTCCATCATGGATCACTGTTGGGCGGATGTCCTGATCATGGTCTAAAGGCGAAGGTACAACTGAATCTTGAAGAGCGTCGTGTTGTACATAATACGTTCCTGTAATAAAGATTTCGGTCGTCAAACTAGTGCATGTACTAATCCTAGGTTTAATTGGCGCTAAGAGGGAGACAACTGATATGCATTGTGACTGTAGACAAGTGCAATACAGGACCTAGAAGACAGGCATAGAGTGGAATTCCGCGTTTTGTCTAATAAGTGTGCGTGTGTCGGTGGCCAAATAACAGTCTTAGAGAGGGTTTAGAAGAGGAAAAGCGCATAGAACGTTCCTTCTGTTGTTTGTTGAAGTAAAAATGATTCTGCATAATAAATAATATGTGTCTTACCATTACTTTTCCCAGTATTTATACCATTATTCTTATTTGCGTATACATAACATAGTATTTGGAAATTTATAAAATAATAAACCACTGTCAAATGCAGCGAATGTTCGATTTTCTGTATTAATTTCATTTCTACGAATGTTTTCATTTACTACTTACAACGTTCGTTTTTAATTAAAGTTTGACTCATTTTGATAACCTACATGATGTTTACGTTACGATGAAAATGTTTGTGTAACACAAATCAAACGATTCTTGTAGTCATTTGAAATAAAAAATTTTTGGAGTTTTATTTTGTGTTCAATTAATTTTAATTTTTGTTATTTAATTAACGTACCTTATTCCTTTAAAGTTATATTAGATAATAAGTATTCAAGATTAATATAATTCTTTATTGTTTATGATTCAACGTAAATACCATTCGTTTTAGTAAGTAATCTTTCGTCTTCCGACACAAACGTTTTTGTTCTAGGCAAATTCTTCTTTGTAATTCACGTAACGCAATTCCATTTTCAATTACACGGTAATTTACATTTTGTATTATAATTATTGTCTCAAACATTTCAATTTTAACTCATAATAATGTTGTGACTACGAGTATAAATTAGGAGATAAACAAAGAATAAATTGAGTCTTGACTGAGATTGGGTTGTTATTGGATTAAGGTATCAAATGCAAATAAGTTTTTCGCTCATCTAAAAAGAAGAAATAAATTTTCGAAATCAAATTGAGAATCTCTTCTTGAAGTCAGTTAAAATATTAATACAAAAAAAGTTTTAATTTGTATTGTACATTACTAGGGAACACCAAAGTCTTGACAACTTATAACTGATTTTTAAATTTCTACATTGTTTCAATCCAAGTATTTTTAATGGACGTTGTATTTTAGTTTTTTTTTGTATCAATCTTGAGATTAAAATATTAAACTATATTATAGTTATTTAGGCGCATACGTATGCTTTTATTCTAATTAAATAAAATATACGGAGCTTTAAAGTTGTTTTGTATTCAAAAAAGTTTCTCTAACATGCGAAATGTATTCTTTAAAGCAGTCTATTTTAAACATTTCTCATGCATAAGGCTATGTAGCAATTAGACTAATGCAACGTGTTTAATTTAATCTAAGCGTTCAAAAACAAGAGGCGCATGTGTACGTGACATGAAAACACACATCTGCAAGTCGCAATAGCCATGAGTGCATCTAAACCAGTGATAATATACTATTTTATTTATTCGGAAACATTTATAAGTGCTACTGAAGTTTATAAAAATATTATTTGAAGAATATTTTTCATCAATTCCTATCGGACGTAGAACACGTAGTGTATTGTTGCATACGTTCGTCGAAATATGATTTCCGTGCACTCTTTATTTTACCGGCAGCTTATCCACACGCTCACAAAATATTGAAGTATACTTCTGACATTCCGGTAATGGGAAATGTCCGAGAATTGCTCTGATATATACAAGATGAAATAAAGAATATTTGAAGCTGGTTGCTGGATTAAAATGCTTTATATTTATGATAATATTATATTATAATCAAACGAGTTAGATATTACTAAGTAGGGAAAACAGTGTAATTTTGGTTATTTTGACTCTCTGTAGAGTCAAAAATAATAGAAGTTGTAGTGGAATTGTAGTTTCATAGGTGATGTATAAGATAGAATTACCTTTTAACACGTTTAAAGAGCCAAAGATTTTTCAATTATTTCATTTTCTGCGATACACATGTAGCACACCTGTGTATTATACATACATTTCTGATTCAAAATAAACAATTGAATTAGATTGCTAATTTGCTAATCATTTCCTGTCTTGTAAAGAAAGATTCTTTTATGTTGTTTTTTTTTTATCGAGGTATTTGATTTAAGAATAATGTTTTTATATCTAGGCGATACTAATTTAAAGATGAAATGAAGCACAAAAGAAACATCACGTGACTTGAAAGGTTAATAAAAGATAGACAAGTCTGCCACTTCATTGTTAATGAGCAACCCATTGGAATGAGAGAGACGTGACTAGTTTGTTAAATTATAAGAACGAAAACCAGTGTTAAAAGTAATAACTTTAAAATCATTAAATCATCACTAAGTATTGTAAGTGAATTGACTTTACACTAGACATCCCGGTCTTACAAAGGCCTTTAAAGGTCCCAAGGAAATTTTGTGCTGAAATACAGTAATCATCACCAGCTCACTATAAGTCCCCACCGAGGGGCTCGGAGCCTACCCTAAGTAAGGGGTGACTAGGCCATAGTCAACCACGCTGGCCCAGTGCGGGTTGGTTGACTACACACATATCTTTGAATTTTTTCGCCGATATGTGCAGGTTGCATCACCATGTTTTCCTTCACCGTAAGAACGTCGGATTAAATATGTACATATGAAAATTCGAATATCACATTGGTACATGGCGGGATTCGAACCCAAGACCTGTAGATTTCAAGTCAAGTGCTTAAACCACTGAACCACCAACGCTCTTAAATACAGTAGTATTGATTGTAATCAGTACGGATTCAAAGTTATTCAAAGTTTCAAAGTTATAGCGATAGTACAATACTAGGCATGGATGCTTATATTTTGTAATATCCAGTAATTTATCAACTATCGACGGCATATTGCCGTTGTCTTTCGTCTAGAGAGCTATACTGAGCTGTAAATTTATTGGCCCATATTTTACACTATGAAACGTTATGTTATCGACAAAGTTCAATTTATACCGAAGTATTCAGTAGCAAATAAGAAATAACAAAAAATATGAGAAAAGAATTCTCGATGAAATATTGGTTGAATTATTTATAACGATCATGGTTTAACAAGACAGACAAAAACAATTATATTAACTAGTTATGCGAAGTCATAGCGATAGTACAGTTCAAAAATAAGATAACTCAAGTGCTTGTCGGTCTGGTTTATCTCGTTTATTTTGTACTTCTCTAAATCGAATTAACAGCGTATAAGTGGATGCTTTTAGACAAACTCCAATTAAAATACAGTGGTACTTGAGTTGCTTTTAACTTTATAATGATGCTGTTAACGTTAAATGTTTAAAAAAATATAAAAGCTTACATATGGAGTGGCGATAAAGTTCACAATAATATCTGAGTAATTATATCTAAGATTTTATGGTTAGCAACCAGTACCAATTTATCGGTCCGTGACTGGTCTATACTTATGATATCGTATAGAAGGGCAGAGGATATGGTACGAACCATATCGTCTGCCCTTCTATACGTACTTTTGCGTAATGCTTGACCAATCATGCTAATATTATAAATGCAAAATTTTAGATGGGTGGATGGATGTTTGTAGAGTTTGTAGCTTAAACGGCTAAACGGATTTTGATAAAATTTAGTGTAGATGTAGATATACATAC